AACAGAAAGATAAATATGATGAGGGTTGTGAAAAGTGCATCGAAAGCCAAATAGTGAAGGCAGTGATCTCAAAAGACAAAAGATTCGAAAAAGAGAGGGCAGTGGATAAATCAAACCAAGATTCCGGTGCGAAGGATAATTCAGACGGCGATTATAGCAAACATGATAATGAAATAGAACTGGAAAATGATTCTGAAAAGGGTAATTTGGTTTATAGTTTTCTGCATAAAGATAAAGATGTGAATAAAGAAGATACATTTTCAGGGGGTTCTGGAGATACATTAATAAAGAAGATAGGTTCTGAAGAAGTGGCCAAGGTTCTAGATACAAGTCCGGATGTTGAAGAGCTAGAGAGAAAGCAAATGGATCGATGGAAGGGTGGCGACGAAACAGAAGTTTGGCATTCAGACCGCCGCCAAAGTGAAAACCACGTCTTCAATAGCGTTGTCCAAATTCCTGAAGATTCAGAAATGGAGTCCATTGCTAGTGACCATGTTCAGGCGTCTGGTCAGTTCGACGAGTCTCCTGTGGTCATCTCTGAAGACACTGTACCGTCAAGAAGGATAAGTGGCATGACCGTTAGGTCTCTGCTTTCTGAGGGAATCGTGGGTTCCACACGCGTCAACTTCCTGAAGCAGGTGAGTTCAAAACTGTTCTAGCTTTAATGTTTTTGAACAGCTCTTTCTCTTGTCTGTTTATTGCTTAACAGTATGAAAAAATATACAACACAAAGACAAGAAGAACCAGTTAGCTTCACATTTATCGCAACAAACGATAAGTGAACGTTGCGGTTACAGAGCCGTCATCGGCACATTACATAAACGTACAATACCACACTACACAAAATCACCCAACTGCCACATAATTCTCAAGTTAAATTCTGTCCTGTACAGGTCGATGCAGAACCAATCCAAGCGTTTTTGTAGCTGTTTATTGTTGTTTTTGTTTACTGTTGTTGTTGTTTATTGTTGTTGTTTATTGTCGTTGTTGTTTGCCTTCACCGACTGTAAGCCCCTGGCGTAAAGCCCTGGTTGTTCGTCCATTTCTGGACTTTGGCTTTGTTCCAGGACCTGAGCTTTGCGTGTGTGGGCATCCGTTTTACAGACTTTGCTTACTTGACTGCAGACTGTTGGTTCCTTACCTCAGGGACAAATGCATTCCGTCTCTGAAGAAAGCCCTCAGTTAGTCTACTCTTATGACATGTTCTTGTTTTACCTACAATGTGGCCCTGGAAATCATATGGGGATTTGGCTTTTTGTGATTTCACTAGGCAACTTCAGGTTCAGTAGTTTGCCATTGCTTCCTGAACGCATAAGGACCATGATGATTATGATAATGATGATGATAATGACAGGATTTTTTCTGTTAGTACTCAATAAATGCCCCTTTCTACGTTGGACGTCATTTTTTTTTCAGCACTGTTGTAGTAAACACTTTGTTGTCAGTACCAGCACCTGTGTTTTAGACTCTATCAACCTGTTGGCACCTTTCCGTCTCTCCATACGATAGTTTTATATCGAGCTTCAGGGAAGCATGGGATTCATACCCATGACACTATCATCTCTTTCAGTGCCTAAAACTCAACGAGACTAGAAGAATGCTACGCCCTCCGAGACCAGACAAGTGGAACACCTTGTACGGAATTGTTAACAAAGGGCCCTGACCATATCTGCCTTGTCATGTATCAGTTCACCATCTAGTAGTGCAAATCCAGCCAATCTGTCTGCCTGTTTATAACCCACCACGCCGGCATGGCCTGGAGAAAAAGATCCAAAGTATGCTCATTGCCCGTAACCTTTAGAACAGCTTGTTAGTTAGTCTTTCCTCTTGTGTCGAGTGCGGCACATAGGGCAAAGGTCATGACTCTCCATGCATTGCTGTTCATTGCAATCCGTTGTAGGTCTTGGATGTTTGAGTGGCCCATGAGCGAGCCTTCCCTGATGATAGTTCTACGTAGGGTTTCCCTTGGTCTTCCACGAGAACAGCTTGTGAAAACATGTGAATTCCACTGCATGGCATTGGGCCAAAGGACGAAAGCTCATGCGCCGCTGGATCGATAACAAACAACAACAACAACATACGCATGGCAATGGCGAGTGTGACTAGCAAGACCCTCCTACGAAAAGAAAAGTCTTACAGAAATAGAGCATCGGATTTCAGTAATAATGTTGCCATCGTATGCATTAAGTGTGTTTTTTCTCAAACGCTCAGCTTCAACCTTTGTTCATTCATTTCCCTCCCCACCTCACCCTACTTCTTCTTCTTCAGCATTCCGAGCCCTTAAGGTTCATTGCTGCTTATATCACCCGCCTCCATTCATCTCTCTGGTTGGCCTTCTTCAGCATTCCGATTTCTTAAGGTTCATTGCTGCAGATATCACCCGCCTCCATTCATCTCTCTGGTTGGCCTTCTTCAGCATTCTGAGCCCTTGAGGTTCATTGCTGCAGATATCACCCGCCTCCATTCATCTCTCTGACTGGCCTTCTTCAGCATTCCGAGTTCTTGAGGTTCATTGCTGCAGATATCACCCGCCTCCATTCATCTCTCTGGTTGGCCTTATTCAGCATTCCGAGCCCTTGAGGTTCATTGCTGCGGATATCACCTGCCTCCATTCATCTCTCTGGTTGGCTTTCTTCTTCAGCATTCTGAGCCCTTGAGTTTCATTGCTGCAGATATCACCCGCCTCCATACATCTCTCTGGTTGGTCTTCTTTTTCCAGCTGGTGACACCAAACATTTGCAGGTCTGTCTGGACATTGTCTCTCCATCTTCTTCTTGATTTCCCCCATTAAACTCAACACAGTTCATGATATTTGTTCTAGGCACAAACTTTGTTGATGTTGGAGGTTGTCGAAAGATATGCTTATCAACGCTAAACGACACAGACTATATATATAGGGTGTGTGTTTGATGGCTGTAGACTTTTGGAAATCAATTATTTGCACTCCCTAATTAAATTTCTCTGCTTCTGCCATGTTTCAAGTGCTATGCAACCGTTAGTTTAGAAAATCATTGCTATATACCAGCGTTTTAGTAACTGATCTTATACATAATGGTTAAAAAGATGTGTGTAAGCGAGACATGGCTGTGAATCCTGGACAATCGGTAGGCAGGCTAACAATTCCTGGAGGCCTCGGAGATGTGGTTTTACAGAAGAATGCTTACAATACCTTGGACAGCCAAAAAGAGCAACCAAGAGGCTTTGAAAGAGGCGGGAACCCGAAGACAACTTATCACAGACATCAGAAGGAGACAGTCATCATTTTTCGGCTATGTTATAAGAAGAGGGAAAATAGAACATGTTGTGACCACTGGAAAGATATGTGGAAGGAGGGATAGAGGAAGACACCGAGAGAAGATGCTTGACAGTCTTGTTGCATGGTATGGAGGTGTGTCGGCACACGAATTGATACATGCTGCAGAAGATCGCAGATTGTGGAGAGGCATAATCGCCCACGCCAGTCGGCAAGGCACCTGATGATGATGCAAGCGGGACAAAATCATACAGGTATTGAGGTGGACTCATAGGGACAAAATGCCATGGACCGTGTTGTGTGGAAAGGACATATCAGAAAGGGATTGAGAGTGAAGAAAGAAATGACTGCAGAAAGGACGAGAGCTGAGCGTCTGAAAAGAAACGGATTAAACACAAATGTTGACAACAATGGTCCGGAAATCCCATGCTATCATTGCGGAAGACTTTTCTTGACACAGGCGGGTCTTGCTAGTCACACTCGCCATCGCCATGGGCTTTGAGTCTCATGCCTCCTCATAGCGCAATATAACACTATTGTCTGGAAAGACGGAAAGGTACCAATGATGATGATATAAATAATGGTACTAACCATTGAAGACAGAGTTTGGTGTCCCTTTAACGGTGGCAGGTATTCGAATGTGGTTGTTCAGGAATTTAGGATATCATTTCTTGATACTAAAATGCCTCATATGCCTCATCCTAATATTGTTAGCAGTTTAACCAGTAGAATCGAATGTGAACATAATCATCATGTAGCAGGTGCTTTGCAGAAAGTCGCTCTCATCACAGTCTGCCTGAAAGAAACTCAATCTCTCGCCAGCTCTCCCGCCCCATGTGCTTTCATACTGAAGGAGTCAATAATTTCCTGTGCCCATCTTCGTGTTGGTCGGCCCATGCCCCTCCTTCCTAGTACCATATTTTCTGCTATTATTGTTTCCAATCCGCCGTTGAAATGACCAAAATATTTCAGCTTCCGAGACAGGATGCTGTTTATTAGCCAATTTTCCTTGATGTTCAGATCTTTCAAGACGTCAAAATTGTTTCTCTTCTTTGTTCAAAATATTCTGAAAATCTTTCTTTAGCATTTCAGCTCAAAAGCCCCTATTCTCTTTCTTAAGGACTGGGAGATAGTCCACGACTCACATTCGTATGTTGCTACAGGGAAGATGCATGCTCTCAAAATTCTAATTTTGATCTCTTTGATTGGAAATATAGATTGTGGAAAACAGTATCCAAAACAAGACACGCTTTATAGTTGTGTCTGTTGCAATAATTCCACAGACAGCGACTACAGGGGGCTGTGTGGTCTCGAGGCATGGTAACCGCCTCGAGTGCTTAAGTGAGATCGGACGCCCGTGTGCATTGTTGCGAATGTAAAAAAAATCCCTTGGCAGTTAAAAATCGAAAAGAGTAGCCTAACGACGTTTCCCGGGCAAAATTTGGAGTTAAAAATCTACCCAAAGTATTTCAGGATCCTCGCTGGTACTACAGAACCTGTGCACTGTGCTGCGCTTCTTCGGACTCACACTTGAGTTAGAAGAAGAACGGAACACTTATGGGTTCCCGTGTGCCATGATGTTGATCCGTTGTTCAAAACTTCAAAACTCCAAACTAGAAAGCGATTGCAAAAAATTGGAATGGTAATATTTTTTAAAGAAACAAAAATGTAATTAAAATTCACTTTGTAGGTCTAACTGAAGAAGTTATATTTCTTTAACCAATTCAACCCTTATATTCTTTTGTAGAGAATCATTGAGGAAATTGAGAAATTCTCGGCAAGAAATATTCGTCCCATTGTGGAGGTCCCAGAAAAACGTGGCCTTCTTGAACCACCGGAAGCAAAACCAATGTAGGTCAAATTGTCTTTCTGTTTGTATACCATCAAGTGCCCTGCCAAGTGATGTGGGCGATCATGCCTCTCCGTAACCTGCAGCTGTGTGTATGAGTTCGTGTGACGACACACCTCCATGCCATGAGAAAACGCTGTAAAGAATCTTCTCGCATTGTCTTTCTCTGCCTCTCTATCCACCGATCTTTTCATTGGCCACATCATGTCACAGTTTTCAACTTCTTAAAAGATGAAAAACACCGACGACTGTCTGTTTCTGATGTTAGCGATAAGTTGTCTTCGAGCCCTCGCCTCTTTCAAAACATGTGGGTTGCTCTTCTTAGCTGTCCATTCTAAGGATTCTTCTGCAAAACAACATCCCCGAGGCCTCAAGAAATTGTTTGGCTTATTTATTAATTGTCCAGGATTCACAGTCGCATGTAAAAACTGGCTCTATATAGCTTGCCAGCATTCTTTTCCTAAACTCCATTGACATCTTTGCACACAGTTGTTTAACTGTTGCTGTTTGCATACAGCTGTTTAATTGTATCTGTTCACATACAGCTGTTTAACTGTTTCTGTTTACACACAGCTGTCTATGTTTGTATATAGCTGTTTAACTGTTTCTGTCAACAGTCAGCTGTTTAACTGTTTCTGTATACAGCAGTTTAACAGTTTCTGTTTACATACAGCTGTTTAACTGTTTCTGTTTGTATACAGCAGTTCAATCGTTTCTGTTTACATACAGCGGTTTGGCGGTTTCTGTTTACATACAGCTGTTCAATTGTTTCTGTTTGCATACAGCTGTTCAATTGTTTCTGTTTACATACAGCTGTTTAACTGTTTCTGTTTACATACAGCTGTTTAATTGTATCTGTTTGCATACAGCTGTTTAATTGTTTCTGTTTGCATACAGCTTTTCAATTGTTTCTGTTTACATACAACTGTGTAATTGTTTCTGTTTACATACAGCTGTTTAATTGTTTCTGTTTGCATACAGCTTTTCAATTGTTTGTGCATATTCAAATGTTTGTGATTGTGTTTGTCAATCTAAATGTTTGTGTTTTGGTTGGTAAAATGTTAAATGTGTGCGTTTGTTTTGTGTTTGGCTATCTATATGTGTGTGTTTGTCACTGGGTATCAGCATGGTTTGTGTGTGTGTGTGTGTGTGTGTGTGTGTGTGTGTGTGTGTCTGGGTATCAAAATATTTGTGTCTATAATTATCTAAATGTTTGTGTTTGTGTCCGGGAATCAACCGGTTTGTGTCTGGAAATCAACATGTTTGTGTCTGGAAATCAACAAGTGTGTGTTTGTATTTGAGTTTCTAAATATTTGTAATTGAGCATATTGAATGTTTGTGTCTGTAATTGAATATCTAAATGTTTGTAACTGAGTAATCAACATGTTTGGATTTGTGATTGGGTATCTAAATATTTGTAACTGAGTAATCAAAATGTTTGGGTTTGTGATTGGGTATCTAAATGTTTGTAACTGAGTATCGAAATGTTTGTAATTGAGTAATCAAAACGTTTTGGTTTGTGATTGGGTAACCGAACGTTTGTGTGAGAAGGAGACAGAGCACGTATGGAGATATCCCGAGTGCAGTGATTCGTTCCTTCGCGTCCTTTCAGGTTCATATCCCGGAAGACACTCGACAAAGTCGACGAGTTTCTGGGCATGAAGATCTCATCCTGGCTAGTCCCCGATGGAGCCACCATCTGCGAAGAAGGTTCCAGCTCTGAGGGCAGCTTCCACCAACAAGCAAACGATGAGGCTGTTTCGAAATCACACTCGAAAGACTCTCTTCGTCCGGAAACAGATCCACATCTTGATGCATCATACACAGAGCCCGTTCCCAATCCTGACCTGGGTAAACTCGTCGAGAATAATCGCGAGCTGACCTTTTACCAGCCTGTTCTACCGCTTCCGGTGAATTACAAATGTTCGTGTGTTGACTGTTGGAGAAATGTCCGCACCCGGAAACCTCCTTCGCGGCGCATGCGCTCTAGAAGGACCCTACTCTCGTCAGATAATTTTAGATGTAAAGTCACCAGAAACCGAAGCCATTCCGACATGAGGGTTATCCAGGACCCTTGGGCAAACAGCGATCTGGAGAGATCCTCCCACATTAGGTCGAACAAGCGAATCTACAGTAACAGATTTTTCAGGAAAAAGGTTTCTGTGAAGAACGTTTTAAAACTGTGCTCCAAAGTCCCCGGGTGGCACAAACCTATTACGCCCCCAGAGACGCTAAATATCACAGCGCAAGATTGCAACGAACATGAAAGAATGTGTCTTGCTATGTGTCTTAACGCCGGGGATTTCACGAATCAGCCGAAAGCTGATTTTGAACACAGTCCCTCGAATCCAGAATGCCAAATTAAGTGTCAGGATTTGCAGAAAGATAAGACAATGCCCTCTGAGCATAAACATTCGAGAACTTCAAATGATCGAAACAAACAGGACTCATACCTAACTGGTCTTACTCCCCCGGAGAATTCTTACAAGTCTGAAAGCTTGCCAAGTTACAAATATAACAGCAGTATACCTTTTAGCTGTTTCGAAAACTCTCAGACGTTCGCTTGTTTGTCTCCATACTCATTACCACTTTCGCAATTACAATTTAGTTCAACAAAACCGCAGTGCAACTTTAGCACAGTGAACAGGTGCTTCGATCACGGTCAAATGAGTAATGTCTTCAACAGCACGAAGTACATAACCTGTAGTCACACAATGACCTGGCCGACGTACCAACTACCATCGGTTCACCGTCAATCTTGCGGATACTTCCCGGAGAACCACTACTCCAGCCGAAGATCATCATCAACAAGCCACCATTGCAGGTCGTGCCCAAAGAGACCCGACCCAAACAGCTGCTACAGCAGCCCCATTCTCCCGAGGTACAACTACACTCCGCCGACCACGTCTTGGCGCTCTGCTATCTCAATCAGCAGTCCGTACATAAACAGATCCTTCAACCCCAGACGTCACTCCTCGATGAGGTATTGCTCTGGCTGCGATATGTCTTCCTCGCCGGCATCATCGTTCAGAAGCTGTGCTGGTCATTTCAACTTCTCCATCCACAACTATGTCTAGTTCCATAAAATTGATCGCTTGATGAAAAAAAAAAAAAATTATAAACTTGAAATAATAAAAGAGAAAGATGAGAACACACTGAACCATCGTGTATTCGTTTTTTTTTTTTTGTAAACATTCCGAGCCAACTATTGAGGTTCATTGCTGGCGATAATTACCCGCCTCCATTCATCTCTCTGGTTGGCCTTCTCTTCTCAGTTGGCAACACCAAGTGTTGGCAGATTTCCCTGTACATTATTTCTCCATCGTCTTCTTGGTCTGCGTCGAGATCTGTATAATTTTTACCTCTGTCATCTGACATTCTCTCAATATACCAAATCTATTTCAGTCTAATCGCCTTCATGATGCCACTAGCCATTGTCGATTTAAACAGATTATGAATTTGATTCTCACTCTCCATTCACCACTGCCTGCATCTTTGAGGAGTCCAAAGATTCGTCTCAAGACTCTGTTCAACACTTTGTAAGAAAGCTTCAGCTCTTTAAGTTGTGCTCCGGGTTTCAGAGCCATATCAAATTGTTTGTCTCATCAGTGTTCTATATATTGTGATCTTAGTGTTTGACAATGACGTCCGCCGCCACCACAACTACCACCACCATTATGACTACCAACACTATAACCACCACCACCACCACTACTACTACCACCACCACTACTACTACTACCACCACCATTATGACTAATAACACTATAACTACTACTACTACTTCTACTACTACCACCACCATTATGACTACCAACAATATAACTACCACCACTACTACTACTTCTACTACTACCACCACCATCATGACTACCACCACTACCACTACTACTACTACCACCACCATTATGACTACCAACAATATAACTACTACCACTACTACTACCACCACCATTATGACTACCAACAATATAACTACCACCACTACTACTACCACCACCACCATTATGACTACCAACAATATAACTACCACTACTACTACTACTACTACCACCACCATTATGACTACCAACAATATAACTACCACCACTACCACTACTACTACCACCACCATTATGACTACCAACAATATAACTACCACTACCACTTCTACTACTACCACCACCATTATGACTACCAATAATATAACTACCACCACTACTACTACTACCACCACCATTATGACTACCAACAATATAACTACCACAACTACCATCACCATTATGACTACCAACAATATAACTACCACCACTACTACTACTACTACCACCATTATTATGACTACCATCAATATAACTACCACCACTACTACTACTACTACCACCATTATTATGACTACCAACAATATAACTACCACCACTACTACTACTACTACCACCACCATTATTATGACTACCAACAATATAACTACCACCACTACTACTACTACTACCACCATTATTATGACTACCAACAATATAACTACCACCACTACTACTACTTCTACTACTACCACCACCACCATTATGACTACCAACAATATAGCTACCACCACTACTACTACCACCACCATTATGACTACCAACAATATAACTACCACCACTACTACTACTTCTACTACTACCACCACCATTATGACTACCAACAATATAGCTACCACCACTACTACTACCACCACCATTATGACTACCAACAATATAACTACCACCACTACCACCACTACTACTACTACTACTACTTCTACCACCACCATTATGACTACCAACAATATAACTACCACCACTACCACTACTACTACTACTTCTACTACTACCACCACCATTATGACTACCAACAATATAACTACCACCACTACCACTACTACTACTACTTCTACTACTACCACCACCATTATGACTACCAACAATATAACTACCACCACTACCACTACTACCATGGCCATTATTATTACCACCCCGCAACCACTGCAACCATTATCACTACTACTACAACCACCACTACCACCATCACTACTTCTACAACCACCACTAACACCATCACTACTACTACAAACACCACAACCACTATCACTACTACTTCTACTACCACAACTACTACAACCACCATCACTAGTACTACAACCACTATCATAATTACTACAACCACCCCACAACCACTATCATTACTACTACAACCACCATCATTGCTACTACCGCAACCACCATCACTTCTACTACTACAACAATCACAACCACCATCACTACTACTACCACAACCACTACTACTACACCAACTACCACTGTTATAATAACCACCACTACTATCACAACCACTGCAACTACCACAACCGCCACTACTACCACAACCACTGCAATACCACAACAGCCACTACTACCACAACCACTTCAACTGCCACTACAACTACCACTACTACCACAACCACTTCAACTACCCAAACCACCACTACTACCACAACCATTACAACTACCACAACCACTAAAACTATTACAACCACTTCAACTACCCCAACCGCCACTACTACCACAACCATTTTAACTACCACTACTACCACAACCACTAAAACTATTACAACTTTAACTACCACAACCACCACTACTAGCACAACCACTACAACTACCACGACAACTACCACAAGCACTATAACTATTACAACCACTTTAACTACCACAACCACCACTACTACCACAACCACTACAACTACCACTACTCTTGTTGACACTGCTGTAGACTAACCGGCACTCAATGGATACAGTTGTCAAGGTATTGAATGTCTTCACATGTCAACGCACTCACCCCTTACCCTCAATTACTCCTACTCTTTCTCTCTCTCTCTCTCTCTCTCTCTCCCTCCCTCCCTCCCTCTCTCTCTCTCTCTCTCTCAATGGGTACAAGCAATGTCTGCGTGCCCAATACTGGTCTTCCGTTCACAACTACCACCTTCACAACAACACTAACATGATACCAACAAACAACAACACCCATATTAAACATAAATTATATATTTCAAATATTCATCAAATTCATACAATATTAATACAATAATAATCCATAATAATAATTTTAAAAAAAGACAATTTAAAATCTTCCAGTAAATAATGTAATACATAACCTGCTCTCCACAATGTGAAAAATAAAATAAAATAAGGAAACCGCGGATTTCTTTGGTATTTGACAAATCACAAAAATAACAATGTGCACAACAAGGTTAAATTGAACTTTTTTGTTTTCACAAAGACAATGCTGAATCTTAGCCATAGTATAGATTCTAGGAATATATATAGAACCTTAGGGCTACGCCGAATAATGGGACATACAACCCTGGGGCTATGCCGAATAACAGGACATACAAACTTGGGGTTATGCCTGATAATGGGGCATACAACTTTGGGGTTATGCCTGATAATCGGACATACAACCCTGGGGCTATGCCTGATAATGAAACATACAACCTTGGAGCTTTGCCTAATAATGGGACATACAACATTGGGACTATGCCTGATAATGGGACATACAACATTGGGACTATGCCTGATAATGGGACATACAACATTGGGACTATGCCTGATAATGGGACAGACAACCTTGGGGTTATGCTAGATTATGGGATTTTACCATTTGGAGCAGAATGCCTGTTCACCTAATTGGGAGCGGTGGGTCTATTCATCCACTTGGGGCGGTGGGTATATCATCTTAATGACTGACTGACTGACTTTCTACCCCACCAGGACATCACACAAGCGACAAACACCCGATGACACAAAGCGCCACCATGCGGATGAGGATCACCGTGGAGAGGTCCCAGAAACCGCGTTCAGACAATTGGCCACATTGATGGCCTGCCTATATTGCGGCCCCTGGCAAAAGCCAGAGTGGGGCTTCAAATAACCAAAAATTACGTTCTAAGAAGGACGTAAAGAATATAACAATATATCATCTTAATCCCACCTATATCACCTTAGACCCAAGCTGTGTGCAAGTAAATTGAAGTAACAAATTGCAGAAGTAAAAACATAAACTCTTATTATTACAGTCACAGTTAAAGGGAAGTAACAACATACTCTTATTATTACTGTTGCAGTTAAAGGGAAGTAACAACATACTCTTATTATTACTGTTGCAGTTAAAGGGAAGTAACAACATACTCTTATTATTACTGTTGCAGTTAAAGGAAAGTAACAACATACTATTATTATTACTGTTGCAGTTAAAGGAAAGTAACAACATACTCTTATTATTACTGTTGCAGTTAAAGGAAAGTAACAACATACTATTATTATTACTGTTGTTGTTAAAGGGAAGTAACAACATACTATTATTATTACTGTTGCAGTTAAAGGAAAGTAACAACATACTATTATTATTACTGTTGCAGTTAAAGGAAAGTAACAACATACTATTATTATTACTGTTGCAGTTAAAGGGAAGTAACAACATACTCTTATTATTACTGTTGTTGTTAAAGGGAAGTAACAACATACTATTATTATTACTGTTGCAGTTAAAGGAAAGTAACAACATACTATTATTATTACTGTTGCAGTTAAAGGGAAGTAACAACATACTATTATTATTACTGTTGCAGTTAAAGGAAAGTAACAACATACTATTATTATTACTGTTGTTGTTAAAGGGAAGTAACAACATACTATTATTATTACTGTTGCAGTTAAAGGAAAGTAACAACATACTATTATTATTACTGTTGCAGTTAAAGGAAAGTAACAACATACTATTATTATTACTGTTGCAGTTAAAGGAAAGTAACAACATACTATTATTATTACTGTTGCAGTTAAAGGGAAGTAACAACATACTCTTATTATTACTGTTGCAGTTAAAGGGAAGTAACAACATACTCTTATTATTACTGTTGCAGTTAAAGGAAAGTAACAACATACTATTATTATTACTGTTGCAGTTAAAGGAAAGTAACAACATACTATTATTATTACTGTTGCAGTTAAAGGAAAGTAACAACATACTATTATTATTACTGTTGTTGTTAAAGGGAAGTAACAACATACTATTATTACTGTTGTTGTTAAAGGGAAGTAACAACATACTATTATTAATACTGTTGTTGTTAAAGGGAAGTAACAACATACTATTATTATTACTGTTGTTGTTAAAGGGAAGTAACAACATACTCTTATTATTACTGTTGCAGTTAAAGGGAAGTAACAACATACTCTTATTATTACTGTTGCAGTTAAAGGGAAGTAACAAACAATGGATGTTACAAAGCTGGGATTTTACAAAGCTGCAGTTAATACTTTCAGCAGCTAACAACTCGCCATGTTCATTGATAACTCTTTGAGTTTTATGGTTTGCTGAACTCTTTAAATCTCATCCTGTTGTTACGACTCCACTGCCAGATCAATCTTAACTGGCTCCTTATGCTATCAGTAGTTTTAGCAGGATTGTTATTATTATTCAACTGCCATTAGACGCAAAAAAAATATTAGTTCAAAATTAAAGTCAACTCACTCAGAAGCGTCGAAGTGGTCAAGCCGTTTGTCTCGTGCTGTGAAAACCGGGAGTTGATTTGATGGTCAGGTCCCTTTGTTTACGAGTGTCATTTTTACGGAGATCCCTCTGAGATCATCTCTGGTGCTAGGGAGTTTGTGCTTTTTGCAACGCTCTCGGCGGGAAGCTAGCCTTTTTGGGTACAGCAGTGGTCTTAAAACTGGGTGGTGTGAGAAAGTTCCAAGGTGGGGGCGTCGAGGAATCTTCAAAATGAGTACATCTGAGACTGCATGTAATAAACCGTTATAACAAACAATTCCTCCCCAGTTTGCTTATAAATAAAATATGTTCTAAACTATCTTAAAAAAAAACCGCAAAAAAAGTTTCTGTTTCCATAAGCAGTTTGTACATCTACTGTAAAAATAGAAATTTGAAATAACCTATGAATTTAATTATAGATTAAGAACACATACCTCTGCTTTTTATCACACTTTATTTCGTTGCGGGTGGGGGGTGACTGTCGGGGTCTTGTCATACACTCGGGAAGGGGGAGGTGGTGGGGTGCGACGTGAAAAAGGCTTGAAACCCTAGTGTGGAGAGACTGAACCATATGGGGATAACATCCAGGGTAGAGATGTAGATCTTTATGATTTCAACTGTTCCTTCAACTTGGACAGAATGAGTTCAACTACAAACAGCCTGTTATGAAAATAAATAAACTGTAGTATTGGCAGAACAGTTAGATCACTGAGCTCCAAAGTGGGAAATCTGGGTTCAAATCCTTGGTAAGGGTGGGGATTATTTTTTTTTAACATTTCTATCTTGAACAAAAATATAATCTCAACCTGCAGTCTATGGCAACAGCTCAAGCCAGGTGACCCCAAATCCTCAGGCTGAAAACCCCTCCTGACTGAAGCTGAAGTTTGAACAACGGAACAACATCATGCAAATGGGTAGTAATCCATAAGAACGCCTTCTGCTTATACTGTGTTAAACATAGGCAGTAACTATAGGGGCAGTCATAAATTTACCTACACGGATCATTCACATATATAATTAGAAATTGATACATTTCAACCAACCACCTTACAAAAACAAAAACAAAACGGAGTCACCCAACAGATGATTGTTTCAAAAGTTTTTACATGGCAAAAGTACAGGGTATCCCATCAGTTACCTTACACATTAAAAGTGTACATTTTCTTTTAAAAAAATGAACTCATTTTAATTTACATAATATGCCCCTACAACAGGGCTAATCAACTAATTTTACTACTTCTTTTTCGTATGCCTTTCTAGCTAAAGCACAGGCCCTTAACCAACTAAGGCCAAGTCATTTTATCTTTTGCTGTCGCATGCAGCTCTCCCCATGTCCTTCCCCTGTCTTTCTAACTTCATTCTCCAGCTCCCTTCTCCCTGTATTTTTGGGCCTTCATCTTTTCCTATGCCTCTGTGGGTTCCAATGCAAAGACATTCGTTCCAATTATATTGTTCTCCGGTTTTCTCAATGTGTGTCCTATCCAACGTCTTTTCTTAACCTCTTGGTTCACTGGAACTTGCTTAGTTCTCTCCCAAAGCTCTACATTAGTGATTCTATCATACCATTTAATTCCCTCTATTCTGTGCAGGCACCAGTTAATCAATGTTTGTAGTTTATTAGTTTTCGCCTTACTAAGGTGCGAACATTTTGAAAATGTCGATCGTCGCAGGCCACCGACCTCAGCCCTAGCATAGAGAGACCATTTACACAACTGCCAATAATCCGAGGGCCACTTGCTAGGCCTCCGCGGGCCGCTAGCTCAACAGCCTTGCTCTACATCAATGCTACTCAACCCATTTACACCCTCACCCACCAAAACAGTGTAAACTGTTTCTGCAGTCCACCTCGCAGCTAACCAAACTCAAAACAAAATCAATGTAGACAGCAATTTATTTGCTGCTGGAGCGGTGTTTCTGATAGATAAAGCACTGTAATAACATCTGTTCCATTTTCCGTTTGTAGTCTTTTCACATAAACAGGAAGTCCTCGTTGTGTTAACTCCCTGAGTCCCAAGGAATGCATCATACGTTCATAGATTCCTACCTAGAGGCCCAATGAACGCATGATGCGCCGAGTTTACTTTTCTCTTGACTACCCCTTGGGCCTGTGATGCTAAACCCCTTGGGACTCAAAGAGTTAATCCTACAGACTGGAAGTGAAGGAAAAATAACCACCCACGTTTCCTTGTTACACTAGAAAACAAAATTTTTGGGCAGCCCACAAGGACTTTCTGTGACCCCCCAGTGGTCGCGGCTTGAAGAACCCTGCTCCACACAACTACTATTAATTTTAAGTCAAATCGCACACAAGCACAGCTGGAGTTACGCTTGTAATGACGCTGGTGATACACGTATGTTTTTCCTACGTACTGAAACTTATGGGACATCGTGTACATTCCAAAGAGGACAGAGACACGGGAAAGCATACACAGACAAGTCAATACGTTAAAATACTGTTATTTCTTTGGTTTGTGAGAAAATAAAACATATGTCAATAAAAACCGCTTGATTTACGGAAAAATGCACCAACAATATAACATCTGCACGTATGAAAAAGTAAACTGATTCACATACAGGCATGATTATCATCATCATGTGTTTTGCCCAGAGAAGTAGGTGAGTGTGCTTCAACTTCCCCGTTATGGGTTCTGGGGTCCCGTTATGGGTTCTGGAGTTCCGTTATGGGTTCTGGGGTCCCATTGTGGGTTCTGGGGTCCCGTTGTGGGTTCTGGGGTCCCGTTATGGGGAGGACAAGAACACACCCACCGCCTTTGCAAGAAGCACGTCATAAAAGCCGATAAACTGAGGGTGGGGGGGGGGGGGGGGGGAAGGCTTATCTTTGAAGTCAGAGGGCATCTGCCTGTGAGGCTAGGAACCAAAAATCTGCATACAAAAAAGTCAGATCTGTAAAACGGATGCGCACACAAGTTCTGGAACAGGACTGAAGTCTTGAGACAGACAATGCATGCGTGTGTGTGTAAGTGTGTAGGAGTGCAAGAGAGAGAGAGAGAGAGAGAGAGAGAGAGAGAGGGGGAGAGAGAGAGAGAGAGAGAGGGAGGGAGGGAGAGAGAGAGGGGGGAGAGAGATAATAGGATAGTTTGAACACTTGTATCAACTATGACATCAGACAAGGCAG